TAAGTCACATCATTATACAGACGTTTTTAAGAAAGGCTTTGACATTTCAAGATAATAACGTTAACCTTTTGTTTCTTCGCCGTAAGTTTTTGCCTGCACTGCAGGGACTTTCCTCGTATTTCTTTTCTTTACATTAGGTACTATATATATCTTATGTAATTTTCAGCGATGTCGTTTACGTTTACGTAAAAACGGAAATTAGGTATTCCGTCGCAGCATCATTATTTATGAATGAACGTCATTTTATGTACAACTTCATTGTCTATGAATAAGTAAAATAACACATAAAAATTAACTGCGAAATCTACATGAGCTGAAGTAATACAGTACTACAAACTTAACGCATAGTGTGTGTGAGTGTTTCTTTATGAAAAATCCACCGAGCAGGTTTTTCTGCAGAATGGTATAATGTAAACAATCGTTAAGTTATGTTATTTTTTTATCTTAATCTTAATACCCATCAGTAAGGACTTTGCTCTACTATGTGTTTACATAATATTAATATTGTTAACTTATAACCTTACTCTTGGAGGAGTACCTTCAGTTACAGTACCTACCTGATATTACTGTTCTGTTGTAATGAATGCCCAGCGCCTGCAATATTCATTCCCTGACCTTGGCTCATCCGAGTTGTGACGGTGACCTCCTCGTCAACAAGAGCCTCCGTGGCGCAATTGGCTAGCGCGTTCGGCTGTTAACCGAAAGGTTGGTGGTTCGAGCCCACCCGGGGGCGTAAACTTTTGATGGACATAGGTATATAGATTCTTTGAAATTATCTCATCAGCTGTAGATAGTTTGTATGCGTGTTGTAATGGTTATTGAAACTAAATTTTTATTTGATTGAGGACACAGCATTTAATTATAGTCCAATCTACAAGTATTTAAATTTAAATATTTACTAGAGGACACATGCTGCTCCGCAGCAATTAAATATAATATCTGATAAATAATCAAATTTATGATTTTGTATTGCCGAACAAGTTGAAATAACTTTAAAAAATGTTGCATAAAAACACGAATATATCAATGTTAACATCTAGATAACAATGTTAACTACATACTGTATTACATTTTAAAATACTTTATTAAATGGATGAAATGGATTATTAAATGGCTTTGGATAAAATATAATTAATGGGTACCAAATTCATAGTCTGTGAATAAATACATATCTACCAAATCTACTTCATATAATTTTCAATAGATGGCTGTGGGGTTATGTCCATTCTCATTATAGGAAACCTAAACTGACAGATTAACATTCTGCCATAAGAAGCTCGGTGACTCTTTTTATCCAAAGTTCCAGTCATAACATCAACTCTAAGCACAACTCTACTATCAACAACACTAGTTGATAGACTAGTTTTGATCCAAGTCAGTTTGGCGGTAGAACTCACTATACTAAAAAATGTCCTTAGATTCTGCAGAAACCCACTTGTCAAACCTTATATTTTGAACCGTATAATTACATTATTTACTCCGCAATTCCGCAACAAAAATTCATAGTTGATCATAAAAAAACGATTGTACTGTGTCGAAGGTGTTTTTAATAATTAATGAAGTCCTCATCGAAATTATCAATCCGACCGGCTTATCATCACACTACAGTACTTTATAACTACTGTACAGTACTACCATATCAGTTTGGCGGATGATTCCCATAGTGGCGTAGTGTGTTGTTTGTAGTAGTTCCTCCCACTTACTGTCACTAATCAGAGTTAACTATCACCAATTTAATGACAAGCCATGGTTATCACTCAATCTATTAGGTTAGTGACGTGGAAGATTCCCTCAGTGTGTTTAAATAGTTCGCTTTAACTCTTATCACTAATCAGAGTTAGGCCGTAACTATCAAATCAACAAGTTAACGACAAGCTATCTATCACGCAATCTATCAGTTTCGTGACGTGGAATATTCCCTTAGCGTGTTTAAATACTGTAGTTCAGTTCCTATAACTCTTAGCACCAATCAGAGTTAATTATCACCTATCTCAAAATCTATATATCACGCAATCTATCACGTTATCGGTGAAGCGGAGGATTCTCGAGTGACCTCTCCGATAAGTGAAAGGTCACCGACCGCTATCATCCTTATCACTCCGCGGCGGAAACAGTGACGCGGCCTCAAAATGTGGTCCAGCTTTGTTTTCTTCCGGTAGAATCCCGCTATCCTTGTTTTGGTTGTAAAAAGCGGTATTTAAACTTTATTTATAATTAAACCTGTTTAGATAATTACAATCTAAGAGGTATATTATATTTGTGTGTTGGTTGGGAAATTTTAATTGTTAAGAACGGATTGAATACCTGATATATGGCAATCCAAATTACAGACGCAACTATATATATATATATATATATATATATATATGAATTTGAACAGACGGAGTGGGTTTTTGGGCTCTGGGGACCACAAAACAGAAAAATTAATCCATCCCTGGCTTAGGTCTTACCATGAGACCTACGGGGTAATAGCTTATTCCCTACATGGGAAATTTACTAATTTTCCCTATATGGGAAATTCATTAAAACTTAATCTTTGCAAACCTACACAGTTTATAACCAACTGTGTGTAACAATGTAATAATAGTTAAATTTTGCTTAGCTCAGGATTTCTGAAAGGGTATGACAGACAATTGTGTTGCAGAGTAATATGAAGAGTTTTTCAACTACATTTGCAAATTTTAAGTTAAAGTAAACAATGTTTTCTATCAGTAAACAGAAAGTTAGCTGGAGGATAAAGTAAGCACAATTATCTGTGGGCATAAATCATCATAATAGCACATTCAGCCTTAACTCCTTGACTAATCAATCTATGTACCTACTATATCTATCTAACCACTGTATTGCAAAATTTGTTCGTAAACATCAAAGCTTTCTTATACTCATATTTTATTCTGAGAAATTTAATATTGTAAATAGATAAAAAAAAATAGAACACAAAACAAGAATGATTTCTTCTTCTTTTTTATAATCAGAGTTCAAAATTCAAATATCTAACTAGATCAATTGTGTTAATAAAAATGGTAATTTAATATTCTAATTTGATAGTCTCTTATATTATTCCTAAGCTTAATTTTGTGCTGCAAGAAATTACCGCTACCTTTTTTTAGATGCACTAGTTTTTGCTCCTTTAGTGATTTGAGCAAAATATTGAGGTGTCCTGAAATATACTTATGGTTAGTACTAAATTAACCAAATTCCAGTCAAAATAAATTAATTATAATTTATAGTTTTTCTCCTTGTTACGCTTGAGTTATTTTGATTGTTTCCTGGATTGATTATTTTAACAACGTTGTTTCCGACACATTTGGTCTGTTGAGTATGTTAAACTTTCTGACATTATTATAAGTCCTAAAGCCTAATGGTTGGAAGGATATACAATGTGATGTCACTTTGTAGAAAATGTTTAATAATTTTTGTCGTCTATTTATTTACAGAACTTAATTATGTAATGTTAAATTTTGAATTATTGTAATTGTTTAGTAAATTATGTAAAAAATAATGTTCACTGCTGAGAAGGAAGTGAATTCAAAGTCCAATCACTGTCTACAAAAAGAATGGAAAAATAGATTCTCACTGGTACTTTCTAATTGAAGTACCTTAAGTGCTAAATTCAAGAGCATGAAAGACAAGCTTGGTGCTAATTTTGCCACCTGTAGTGTCAATCAGATTCTCACCTTCAGCTATTTCACTGCTCTGTTGTCATAGAACAATCTGATTGCAGATTCCCACTAATCTGCTTCACCTACTTATGTTACAGTATTAGATTCTACTGCTATAATGCATTTTCATTGCAATCAAGGTACCTATTGAGATATTTTAACATAAATATACCTTTCCCATTGAAGTTTAACGCAAGGGTAAAGATATTTTTAGGGTTCCGTTCCCCAGTTGTCGAAGCAAATCACCAAATTCCCACTATCCTCCTTACCTAGGTACTCATTAAACCCTAATGTTATTTAAATATATTTAATTGAAAATCAATTCAGACAAATGGAAATTCACTTAGTCGTGAGATTTGCTGAGGCGGGGTGTTTACTAATCGTGGAGTAAGAGTTTCACAATAATGATAAATTACTTAAAAGTAACTCATTCAAACTAACTTATTCAACATTTCTCCCACCCATACATCAAGAGATGCGCAAAGTGGGGTGCAAAAGAGGTCAAAATCAAAACCAACAATGGTTGAGGTAGGAATGTACACTGTGAAGCAATAGAGGGTTTGGTTGTCTACAAATATTGACTGTGGTTCACAAATCACAAATCTCAGGGATGTAGATGTAGTAGTATAGAGTGTAGGAGGATCCTTGACACCCATACAGACCACTGACCTTATGTAAATCAGCTGTCACTGATACTTCCTCTGTGACGCTCTTAAGTCAAAGTGGTACCAAGAGGTACCCGATCCAGGACTGTCTTCGGTAGGAGGTTTGGGCCAACAAATTATGCCTACAACAGCGGCTTGACTAGACTTTTGCGGGTCGACTTCTACTGTTTGACGACAGTTAGAAGATTCTTCAACCATCTATGTCAGTAGTAGTAGTAGTTCCTATAAAATTCTCTTTGTTCCTCTTGATTTTTTGTTTTACGTTGAATGTTGTTAGAGCCATTTATTGTTGTTGTTACTTATTGTTTGTTATTGTTGTTAGATTTTATTCAGACGATTATAACTTGTTATATTTATATATAAATCAGCTCATTCAGATGTTATTGATGTTATTTATATTGTTGAGATGTTTTGCTTTTTGTATTTTTTTTTGTCATGATTTGTATATCATCACAGAGTAAGACATTTTACACTATGGTGCAGGAACATCTACAAAATAAACCCTACTTATTTCAAAGTTAGAGGTTTCTCGTCATTATTCATAAAAATGTTAAACCACTAAACATAAGCATTATAACTTCAACACGTTTTCAATGAGCATCATCAAGTCCTAAAGTCTGAAGTTCTAGAATGTTGTTTGGATTAGTTGCTAATGACTGTTTGTATGTTGCAGTGTATGCGAGCCTACGTTGAGTTTGAGATTGGAGAGGGTGCGTATGAGATCTCATGTCCGGACGCTCTCTGTGAGAAGCAAGGAGTCATGTCTCTCAACGAGATAGAACGACTTGTGCCTGAGGAGAACTTCGAGAAACACAAGAGGTTCAGGCTCAACAGAGGTTGGTAGACTTTCACTCCAAAAAGTTTGAATGTGCGTGAGTAAAATAATAAAAATTAAGTATTTAAGATGTTTTTTGTAAAGATAGCTTACATAGCTATAGTTCGGCCACCTAGAAAGCAACCTGCGCGCTAATGCTAACCAATACTAGAGGAGGTCGCTTTCTAAGCGGCTGAACTATAGTAGAGTCTTTGTTCTTATTGGGTGTTCTTATGATTTTTCTTTCTTCCACAACCAGAACACCCTTAGGTCTTGCCTTATCCAAGAATGCAAGTAATATAGGCAATTACTTACTATCCCTTTACTTTCCAGCAAGTCTGAAGTAATTTTATGGAGAGTACCTCTATAAACAGGGAAAGTACATGGTACGTTGTTAACAGCAGTACTGGGCTGGTAACTAGTTCTTTCACTTCTGTTCCTGTCTATAATCTCAGTATTAAGAAAATACATAAACTTAAGAATAATGGAAACTGTTAATAACGGGAAGAGGAAAATCAATTTCTTGGAGCTTGACCACCTTAAATATTCCAAATTTGCAACATATTTTTATGTGGGTATTCATACTGTAGTATAAATTTATCTGAATGTAAGATTAAAACTTATTCAGGTTCTTCCAATGGAACCAGTGCTATACAAAATTCACTTGTACGGAACTAAACATTCTGGATCTTTGGAAATATCTAATTCTAATTGGAAAGTTTAAATCTATTCAGGGGCAAACCAAAATGACCTAAACTGTTGATTTGCTTTTGTTTGATCATGTTTTTTTTATAAATATACTCTACCATACATTATTTTTTAATAAAATGTGAACTTAACCTCCAATTTAAAATTTTTCTGACAACCACTCAGGCACATAGAAGCTGGATTGTTTCCAGCCATTTTGGCAAAAGCAGGAATACTGAAATTATACCGCCAATTTCAGTGAACAATGGATTTCCTTATTGAGTATACCATACTAGATTTTAAAATAAAAACGAGGAAACCAGCTAATGCAATAGTATTTTATCAACTGGATAGAGCTGTAGGAAAATTTACTCAAATCCCCTTTATACTCATATCACTTATTTATATCCATTCATTTTATTTCAATATATTTAATAGATTATACATATCTACTATCTTTTTAATGTTAGGACAATAATGTTTTCGTGTTGCAGAGGTAGAGCTAGACAAGAGCAGGACTTGGTGTCCGAGTGCTGGCTGTGAGACTGTGTGTACTGTGTGCTCTACTGCAGAGAGATGTGTACCACAGTCAGTCCATTGTCCTACCTGTGAGACAGACTTCTGCAGTAATTGTCGAGCCGCCTGGCACCAGGGTGTGCCGTGCCGGCCAGAGGTAAGAAAAAATTACCAAAACAAACTAGAATGATTACGTTTTGTAAATGGTTACCCAGTTATCTTTCTTTTTCTTTGAATGAAAGTGATTGGCAGCCTATTTTAGACATGCATTTATTCTAACTTTTTATACGGGTGTCAAAGGCTTGTGCGTGAAACGTCTGAAGCACACAGCAAAGGGTGTAAACTTTACTGGAATTTTACTTCATTTATTTTCTCATTATAAAGAATTAGAAAATTGAATTATTTATGTTGTATCCTTTGTTCTTGCAGACTTAGTTGTTTCCTCCTATATTTCATAATGCGAAATATATTATCGGAAAAAACTAACTCTGCAAGGCCAAAGGCTACTAAATAAGGTAACTTAAATCATTCAATGTACTGGAACGCAAACCATAGATATCGCTGGCTTAGATTAATAATCGGTTGCACTACTAAATGAGCCACTGACTCATCTTAAGGTTAATCTTGGCAAGTAGCTTGGAATTTAATTGATTTACATTAGCTACATGTTGATGTTACTATGACTACTTCCTCTTTATCTTTATGTTTAATTTCATTACATTATTGTTTCAACTGTCTCTTAATAATTCATATAAAAGTATAGTAGAACGTGAACAATCCAAATTAATTGGAACTGGAACCCATTTGGACCATCAAATTTTCCTTATTATCAATATTATTACAGTAGACTCCCTCTTATCTGGATTCCTCGGGGCCATGGCCAGTCAGGATAACGGTTTTTCTGGTTAAACCGACGCCCACTAAAACTCGTAAAAACGGACCGTTTAACTGCATATTTGACTTAAATTTAGGAGAGCATTGTATTTAGACACGTGAAACCTGGTCTAAAATCTATCTCACGAGAACGGTTGTTTCAGTACCGCCCACTTCCTGCCGATCTAGTCCGGTTAAACCGATGATTTAAATAAATATTTCTGTATATGTATAAAATATCTATGTACAAATGTATATTGTATCAGAATTCTATCTAGCTATTAGTCGATGTAATGTATGATGTATTGTTCTGAACGCCATTCATGTATACTTTTGTATATCTGTGAATAAAGTATCTTTGAATTGAATTGAATTGCTGATAAAAACTGTCCAGTTAAAGAGATGTCATTTCCGCCGAGTGTAGTCCGGTTAAACCGATGTCCGATTAAAAGGTGTTCGGATAAGAGGGAGTCTACTGTACCTTAAAAAAAGGTGAGCGTGTATACTATTTGAGTAAAACACTTTTTACAATTAATTGTATATTTACTATTATAGGTTTAAAAGAGAGGTGTATTTAAAACCTGTTTTATGTTCAAGCACTGTATCGTATTTAATTTTTAACAACATGTGTACACAGTGAAGACTAAAAACATCAGACACTACATGTTAGAGCTTTTAAAAATAAATGTGTGAAAGGTTCTTAAACTTAACTGCGGTAGTATTTTGTTTTTGTAGAGCTAAGTTCTTAATTATTAGTTTAAAAAGATGGTATAACATTTGATTTTTTAGACAACTGACATTCCGGATTTTTTATGTCCGAATTATTGACATTCTACTGTAGTAAAAAGTATCGACATTCTACAGTAGTAGAAAGTTGAACGTTATACTGCTTTATTTAAATTTAATATATTAAGTCATAGCTATGCACCATGTAAATCAAAAGTATGAATAAACATCATATAAATGAATCTAACACTCTGTTTGCAGGACCTTGCACAGCCAATACCAGGAATCACGTTTGACTCTGAGCTGATCAAGTGCTGTCCAATGTGTGCTGTGCCGATAGAGAAAGACGAGGGATGTGCACAGATGATGTGTAAACGCTGTAAACACGTCTTCTGCTGGTACTGCCTCGCTTCCCTAGACGTAAGTTTCTCTCCTATACTATAGTGCGAGTCCTAGACTATAGTGGTAGATTGGATTCTGAAATGGAAGTAACACTGTCCACAAAAAGACTTTGATAGTTCAAATAATAGGCTATTTTAAATATATAACTTGTTTTGGAATTATTAAGGCTATTATATATTTTACTTTCAAACCATCAAGGTATATGACTATCATAGGAATATGTGAGACATACATTTTTTACTTTGGTTGACCTTTTTGGGTCTTGGGTCAAAATCAGGTCAGGTTTAAATAACATTTATTTTCAAAGTTTCTAACAATTTTGATTTTTTATTCTACAATAAGAAGTTAACAACTACTTCTGCAATCACGGTGAAATCTTCAACAATGTCCTTCGTTGCAACAAAAACAGGGGCATCCCCTGCGGTCACTGTGAAATAGAAAACATCTCCTTCAATAACGGCAAAATCATGTACATCTTTCATCTTTCACGGTCACATGATCATCAACTTCGTCTCAAGCTGTTGCGGACAAAAATCATGAATGTGGTTGCTGAGAAATTGTGAACATTGTTTGTTGTTATGAAGACTTAATCAGTGTCTCCACATCGGAATCATGATTTTTGATCGTAAAATCTTTGCAAACGCTTTTGGCGATCGGAAGAATAAATACTCAGCAATGACGATTGAACTCCGTTACAGGTTTTATTGGTGAAATTCATTTTTGAAAGGAAGGAGAAAATCAGGTCTCCTTAGGCTGAGGCCCTTGGTGGCCCCTGCAATATCCAAAAGTAAACTTTTTAATACATTGTTTAAAGCAATTGTTGTTACCATGTGCATTATGATAGTGGACTAGTCTATAAGTTATAGGAAAGAACACTCATTTTTTAAGCGTAAACCATTAAATATCTACTGTAACACAATTGAACTACTACTATCCATATTAAAAATCTAGTTTTGCTGTACTCTAATATGTGTTATGTCATATCACTAATATGCAACAGTTATTTAATACCTTTATTCCTTAGGACGACTTCCTATTGCGGCATTATGACAAGGGTCCATGCAAAAACAAACTAGGACACTCTAGAGCTAGTGTGATCTGGCATCGGACGCAGGTAATGTAGCGATCAGTAATAAGTAAAATAATTGTTACAAAAGAATAATAATATTCAATTTTAGAAACTGTATTTTTTAATTAATTAAAATCTACTGGTTTTACTAGAGCTGTTGTTGCGGTAGAAAAGTCAGGTTTAATTATTGGTTTTCTGAAATGTTATCTCCTTGGCAATGAAACGGCAACATAAATAGAGGTTTCAAATTCCATATTTCCCTGGTCCATAGGCCAAACAATGAGTTTACCTGTCCTGTCTGTGGCAGAATTAACCGGGAGATGTTCACCTAAAATCTATAGCCTACTTATTTAATACGCAAGCAAGCTTTTTAAGACAATTACTCCTCCGAAACTACTGAACCGATTGACGTGTTTTGGTGTCATTGGAATGAGCGTAACATGAAGTTGTGCAGGAAACTTTCTTTTTAGGGAAATAATTAGAGAGTGAGGCCCTGGGGCCCTTTAAAGTTTCGCATTTCTCCATAAGATCATAGAGAAAACATAGTCCCTTAGTAGATTTCCCATCCTCATGGAACAGCTGAAGCCAATTTTATTTTTAGTTCTGTCCGGTTATCTGTAGATGTTGTATTTTGTTTGCTATTTGTTTCATGTTATTATTTCAGTAATTTAAAACCTCGTTTAACCAAATAAAACTATCTAATCATAAACAATAACTCGTCCACTAGCCATATAACCAACAGTGAGACACAAATAATGAGAAACTAACCCTAAAATAATAGAAACAAATTGTAAACAAAACACAACATCTTCAGAAATGATAAGATTAACATGGGAAGAAAAAAACATTGTTATCAAACTCCAGCTGTTGTCAGATATTAAAAGTGAGAAGAAGAACATGTTAATTAACAGTCAATAAGTTTGCTAATTATACAGTTTGCTACAAACATTTACTTACTTGGTTGAATATTTACTATTTGAATTTGGGTTGGCGTAAATATTACAATGGAAAAAAGCAAGTGAGCCTGGATAGCTTATATAATAAAAAGAAAACTAAATTAACACTGTGCTGCATTTCTTGGTAATCATTGAAAGAGCTGATTTGCAAACAATGGAAACATAGGAAAGTCATAGAACACCACCGAGGAGAAGAAATATAAATGTGTTTTTTTTTTATAATTTGTAATCGTTTTTATGGACAACCTAATGCGGCTATGAGTAAGGCTATTTGTAGAAAACACTAAAAAACAAGATCAGCTTTTGAAAATTGATAATGTAAATCTTCAGTATTTCCATAATCTTTGAGTTGATTCTTTTAAAGTCATCAGAAATTATTACTGTTATTCGTTTTAAAAGAACGCCTGTAATACTTAGCAATTGCTTGAATTTGAGCAACAGGGACACTAGTAATCATTAGATGGATCAGATGGAATTTAATAGGTTGGGTGGATTCTCCTGTCATTTCTTCCACTCACAGGCATATAACTACTTTTAAATCATCTATATATCTCACTCTTATTGCTGGATGGAATTTCTTTTCCCCAATCTTATCTGTGTGCATTGTTAATTATTCCATGTGCACTCAGGTGATTGGGATCTTTGCTGGCTTTGGTATCCTGCTGCTTGTAGCCTCACCCCTGCTCCTGCTGGCAGCTCCATGCATCGTCTGCTGCAAGTGTAGGGTGTGTAGTGGAGGCGGCCGACTCGACCCTGACGAGGAACTGCCGGACGACAACGGCACGTGAAACTCTCCTGATACTCGAGCAACGGAACTGCTCGAGCATTGGTAACCAGGTGGTCGCACCCAGAGTCTACAGTACTCATCGGAGACGCAAAACATAGGCAAAGAGAAGTTTTAAGGAGAAAGGCGTTGGTATCGACTGTTCAATTACTTCAGTATGTTTAAGATTTTGTAATTTGGTAGTAGACATCCCAATGGACCAGCCATAGCCAATTTTGTATTGAAAAAGAACATGTTTGAATGAGCCACTCAGTGTGCTAAGCTTACTTATTTTTGTTCCTTGATTTTTATCGACATAGTGTGACATTAGAGATGTTTACAATAAGTTATCCCGTTATAGTTCGGCCGCTTAGAAAACGACCTGCGTGCTAATGCTAAACCAATGCTGGAGGAGGTCGCTTTCTAAGCGGCCGAACTATAGTTTGGTTTGGTTAAAAGTTGGCGCAAGTGGCTTCTGTTATTTACATTAGAGAATTCTGTCACTGGCTCAATTCAACAAAGTTCATTTTTATTCTGGAACTGGCTCAGACTTGAGCATGAGCATGGAATGCCCAGTTCTATGCATAGTCAAAGGTTTAAGATAGGTAATAGTTCATTAAATGATTTGCAACAAGATCAACCAAGAACAGATGGTTTTACATTTTAAAGAGTTTTAGCTTTATAAAAGACTTTTTACACAGCGTGTTGTCTAAATTGTAAACATTTATTCATAGGTCTGTTAAACTATTAATAAGTTTTTCTTGTTATTATTAAACATGTTTTGACCTCTTTACCTTGTAGTTATCGTTAAGTTACAATTACCATTACGATACATTCAGTTGCTAAATTTTTAATTCAGTTCTTGTAATACATAATGTACCAACAAGTAATTTAACGTTACCATTTATTTGTTGTTGACAGTTTTTATGAGAAGTTTTTATAAATAACCTTATAATTGTTCAAGTTAAGTTTTGACAAAACGTTTTATTACATTTTCGCACAAAATTATGTTTAACCTTGTTATGAACACAATAATTTGTTTACAAACAAAATAATTAAACAGTAGATAATGTACTTAACAATGTCCCTGTTAATCATGAGTTGATTTAAACTTTACTGTTACTTATTTTAACCACACTGCCTTTTATACCTTTCAAATGAATATGGAAACTAAACTTATGATATTGAGGGTCGAACAAAATCCAACCATGAACTGCTGTGAAGTGTGAGACGTTTTTGTTACAAGTGAAAATGTTTTGGACTCAAGTTAAAAAATAAGTTGTATATACTTTGTAAAAAGTGCAAGAAGATTAATAGTTTTGTTTAATTTGTAAATACTAAATACATTAACATGTAAATGAAGTCATGTATTTTAGGAGAATTATTTGGCAGGAGGGTTTAGGTGTTTTACAAGTAACAATTAGCTATCAGTACAATATTTTAGTTGTTTACCCAATAACTTCCTCATTTACAGTTAAATTCACAAAATTAGAAGTAAATAACTAAGCAGATAAAATAAAGTGCTTCCATTTTTTAATCAATAATCGAGTGGTAAACTAATGCTCCTGCCAAGTTTAACATACAATGCTGTAAATAGTTTAAGTGCAATTTTAGAAGTTAACGAGAGTTAACAAGGCTGTGAGTGGGTAGAGACTTAATTTTTTTCTTTCCGGGTGTCATGTACTTAACTAGTAGTGTTGCGATGATGATGCACAAAACTGTTGGATTGCTTTTGGTTTCAACCTTAAAGATTTTACTTCTGATTCTTGAAAAAGTAAAAAACAAAATATTTAATGAATTTTTGTTATGGATTAAGTCATTGACTAATAGTCAAAGATTTAGTTCTTTGTAATACAGAGAATGTTGTCAATTGTTGTTCTCTAAATACCAGCAGCTGACACGGGCTCTTGACTATCACATCCATTATTGCTGTGTAGTTTAAGTGTTATATATTTCATTAAACAGTTTCTAAATGTTTTCCTGTAGTACTTTTTATGTTTTTAAAGGGAATAGGCTACCAAACCGAGGTTGTAAAAGGTACATTAATTAATATTTTTTCTTGACATAAGGACTCGACAATGTCATAATCTAAAAAAAAGCAAAAAACAGTTCAAGTACTCAAAATTTCATCAACGCCAATAGTAAAATATTTTAATAATCAGAGCGATTCACTAACTCCAGATTTCACCAAGTCCAATAGCATAAGTTTTAAATAGTCATCGTTTCACAAATTCCAATGGTATTAATTTAATAAGCAGAGTGTTTCACGAGCTTCAAAATCAACTCCAAAAGTACAGTTTCGGCCAGAAGTTGCTGCAGGGGTTGCCACAGTCAGATTGCAGGTAAAAATTCTTTATTTTACCAGGCAAAGTTAGGGCCACATGGCCCTCTCTTACACTACAGGTACCGTCCGCCATGTTTGTGGCGTTGCTCTAGGATTGACTAAGGGGTCATGGGCTCCAGTCTCTTTATCTCTATACAATTTAATGTTGTTGGTTCAATAAATTTTAAGTGTTAAAAAGGTGTTAAGACGTTGAGTGCGGGCAAAATCTATTAATGTAGTGCGTCATGAGCACTCCTATCGGCCTGCATCTATAGATGTAGTTGTGCCACTCTCACTACATTAGTTCATTATGAGCTCAGCCGTTGCCAGGGAACGTTATAATCGTTGCCAGGCTGTAGCTTAGAATGCAAGCTTTAATTTGGTGTAGGTTGGTACTAAAAATTCCTATAAAATCCCGTCTAACAATGCTTTTGTCCTGGTTTTGGGGATTTTTTCTATTCAAGCCATATTTCAAAGACACTGGCTATAGATCCAGGCAGTGCTGCTACCTTTGGGTGTTTCATTGATCTACGCCCACTTTTGGGGTAACGCAGCACAATCACCACTGCTCTTTTGTGATTCGTCAGTCTGAAATATTTGAATGCCAATTGCGATTGCTGATTTATTGGCGAGCCGGGGTTTTGCCCGGGCCTCGCCGCCATTGGCGAGCGTCTGTTAAAAAGTTTTCAGCACTCAATGTGTTAATTTGTACGTTATTGGGATTCACCTTTTCAATGTTGAGCTTGGCATTGTAAACACTTCTATTTCAAAAAAATTATTTGTTAACACTCATAGTAGAGACTTTGACTTTAGTATAAAATATTGAGGCGTGAAATCTGGAGTTTGTGATTTTTAATAATTTAGCCTACTATTAGAGTTGGTAAAATTTGAAGTTAGTGAACCTCACCCATCAGTTGTAATACTGTAGGCCTACTAAAAATATTTTGACTTGGCACTATTCAAAAATAGGTTCCTCATTTAATTTTACTACAAGTTTAATTTAGAATTATCAACCTGTTTAGTCGAGTTTGAAGTTTAAATATTTCAACAACAAATAAGATAGCTATAGTTTCTACAAGACCTGTATGTCAAATGAAATTGAAAGAAAAGAAATCTATTCTTTATAGTTGAAACTTTGATATTTTCAAAAGCAATCCACCAGTGTTTAGCAATCAACTCCTATTGGCTACTAGTGAGTAGAAATAACCTTTATTAACTGGAATACTTTAAATTTGTACCACTTAACTGGAAATAAGTTAGCCTAATTCTTTAGCTCTAGATTCTTGACACAGTAAAAAATATATTCTGGATTTTCCCATTAGTGGAAAAATCTTCCTTTAAGTCGACCTTTAGGGTTTGGAATTCTTCCTTTTCAGTTAGGTTTTAAGCTCAGTAGAGTATGGTAATATAATAATTATTGCAGTGGACATATAGTTGTATTACCTATCAATTTTACTTTAAAATCTGTGGTTTGAGGTTAATAATTCCTCCTCTTGTTAAAATATCTACCATAAAATAATGTATTGTTGTTGGCTTCATTCCCAACCGTTTCTACTTACAGTAGTTTTTTCTCCTCTGGTTTTAAACTCTTTCCCTCCAGTTTTTTAAGTCCATCTCTTAGTTTGGCTTGAAGGACTAAACCCTAGTCTGCAATAGTTTTCCAGTGAGTGGTACAGTAAAAAGCTTTCACTTCTAATTTGTCTCCCCAACTAGAGATGTACATATAATGCACATCTTCCCACACTATATCGACTGTACAAACTCAATCAGAATGTCAAAGAAAGTGTTTAGATATCAATAAAAGCTTAATACATTGTAACTTTAAATTTACTATTATCATAATATGATATCTTAAACTGTAATTTCTGTCATGCTTATTTTTTCATCAGGAGCTATTTAACTTTTTTCAGCTTTTTATGCATTTTTACTCCATTTGAAAATTTGTGATAACTATACTAGTTTTTAGGTGAGGTAGTATTTTTTAATAAGATTTTTTTTAAAGCAATGTCTTATATTGTTAGTTGTAAGAATATTATTTCATCTATAAGCTTGCTTTCCAATAAACATTTAATATATCAAAATTAAAACTTTTGTTACTTGCGAATCAGGAGGTTGCTTTAATGTTAAGCTTTGTACCACTTTTTTCAATGTTCAAATTGGAACTGGTAGATTATTTCGTTAAATTTGTTGAAAACAAGTGATTTACTGAAAATAATCAGTATAAAACAGAGTTTTTTTATATTTACCCAGTATTATTAATGTTTAATTAATACCTGTTTTAAATCATTTTGGTATTAAAAATCCAATGTTAAATCAACTTATTCAAACCTAAGCACAGTTAGATGTTTTGTGTTGGTTAGTTTTGTACAGTGATATGTTGAGTATATGTTGCTGTTTTGCTATACAGATCAGCGAACATCCTAATTCTTAAACTTTGTTAGGCTGATTTCGAGACAATGTCTTTGTAAAAAATGTGAGGTTGTTTTTATTTTGCAAGTTCAGGTTGTTTTTTTTTTCTTTATTCCAGCAGGTGATTTTTTTAGTTAACTAATTTAAATGCAATTATCTGATTTACATCAGTTTATATTGTTTAAGAGCTTGTTAAGTTTATAAGCATTTGTCTATCTATTGTTGAATGTTGACTTATTATAATTAGGAGCAAAATAAATTCTCAATCTAATTTTTATACTCTTGGAGTTTTTACTTTTTTTACACACACACAAAAAGCTTGAACACCTTTTATTTCCTAAAAGAAAGAGTAATTTAAGTTACATTTACATTTAAGTTGACTAAAAATATCTTTCTTGTTATGGTTACATGATTATAGATGCTTTATGCTACAACTCATTAGTTGTGGCTAAAAAATGTTTTAGTGAAATGTTGTGCAATGGAAAGAACAGTTTTGTTGATCGTCTGTTTTCTACTAAAAGTCTGCCAATTTAAAAGCAACTATTCGATTTGGGTCTGTAAAAACATCAACAGTACACCATCTGAGTAGGTAGCTTTAAAGTAAATCATATTTTTTGTCATACTACATCAAAAACAGCCATTTTTAATGTATGGGTTGCGGGTATAAAGTTGCATTTATACTCTCTAGGGAATAAAAATCATTTTAGTCTCTTGGGAGTAAAAATCAGCTGTTGTAAATTTCAATTGTGGCAATCACATCCATCAAAATTATTTATTGATTGATTTATTAGGTAATGTTTTTTAGCCTATTGTTGTGGATTGCTCGACATATCGAGGGTATAATGTACTCTAACACAATCGTAATAGACAAAATATGATTGAATCACTTACTAAACAGCTGCTTATTTGCATTAGCAATTAGCAGAATTGAAAACAAGCTGGAAGTCGTTTTGAGAGGTTATCTTTAAAAAAATTCTTTTGTTTTCTAGCCTTGTAATTAATGATGCAATATGACGAAAAATTTAGTTCACCACACGGGCGACTTTTTTCATCTGGTGACAACCACTACAATAAATTAACCATTGTTCCATCCAAAACATTCTTCAAGTATCTAGTCCTTTAACATTTAATATTTTAAGAGAGTTATGGAAAAAACAAACATCATGGAAAACTATAAATGACAAAATGACCCCAATGTCTAATTGAAAGGGTTTATAGGATCTAGGATCTCATTTTATTGACAACATTGATAAATTAATGTTGAGGTGACATATGGAAGAGGATACAATTTCTACTCAAAGGATAATTTTTGTTATCTTTGAAAACACACTCGAAACATTTTTAAAACTTTAAAAATGGTGATCCTGTATTTTACTTATTCATAAAGACGTAATTTATAAAATCATTTAACAATTAATTACTCTGACAAGTAGATAATGGTATTGTCCTGCAAGAAGTTTACCATGTTCCTTCCGTTCAAATCATTTGTTACAGTAGCCTAATTATTGGTGTCTCTAAAACCTCTGTAACTTTACAAAAACTCAGCAATCAGTGATATTGAAAACTTTAAAATGTGTATAACAAATTATAAAAACACTTTATGTATAAACAGCACTGTAGTTACTGAATCTAAATGAAATTAGAAGAAGAACGTCCCCTTAACCATTATACCAGAGTATTTCAAGACAAAAAATTATGAAGGCAAACATGAGGCCAGCAGTCAGCATGTAGAATAGTGGACGAAGCTTGGAGATGGGCATTACCTCTGGTTGACCGAAGGTAGGAACATCATTCTCTATTAGGAGATGTCTTGTGTTAAACAATGGCCAGCGATAGAGCACTTGAAACTTCCACTCACGCAAGAGACCAGCCTAAAAAAGTTAAAGTAAGAGTAATTTTTAACGTCATAACGTTACTTTTCCGTGTTTAGGCACGGTAAAGGGCAACTTTCCAGCATATCAATGCGGATGGAAAAGTACCTGTTTCTGTGTAGTAGGATGTAAAAGTCTTTAAAAGATGTTGTTTTATTTGACAGCATTTTTTAAAGCAAGTTTTAAACCTGAAGGTAATGTGTTTTATTAACACAAATAGGAAAATAAGTAAAAATTTTCCAACATTTTATATAAAAAAAATTGTTGGATAAATTTTGAATGGCAAGAAGAAACCCTTAACTCTCAAGTAATATATTTGATGCACTATATTCCCTAGGTATATGTAATCAACCTTATTTTCTTGTTCCACATCTTTTAGTGTAATTAATTTGTTCTTTTAATCACTTTTCATATAACTACAACTCCAGCTAGAACAAATTTGTCTGTTGCCAAGAATATTAATCGTTCTTGTGGCTTGTGTGAGTACACTGGGCTAGTTAACAATCAAGTTTGCATAAAAATCCAGTGAATGACATGTAGTCACCTGCAGGATAAATTTTTTCCAAAGCATTTTTAAAAGCACCTATCGGGCGAGTATATAAGGCATTTTGAGATGAGTGGAAAATGCTAGATTGTAGTTTGTTAATGTCATTGGTCTACTTGGCCCTTAGTGAGTAAGACCAGCTGTTTGTTGAGCCAGTGTCACGTAAGCCCAATGATGGACAGTTTCAAACCATCAAAATGCTACCATCAAATATTCTACCTTAACTGATTATTAGACAAGTTTTCTAACCACTCTAACCCAATTATTACTATTATATATATGTATTGTTGAACTTATTACCTCCATAAACCTCATGGTCATTATTGTCAAAGGCTCCAACATAGGCGAATGTTTCTCGACTCCAAACGAAATATGCCCTCTGCCAAGACTTTCTCTTGCTACCCGATACAGCTTCAAAGCCTCGTGTCCTACAGTACCATCTGTATCCAACACTACTAAATCATTGTTTAACACCTGAGATATCATCGTCATTTTCTTATCGGTATACATTGCAGCGCTGACTGCATTTTCTGTCATGTACTTGTATCTCTTCTCATAAAGCTTGTGCCTTTTGTTCTGGAAAAGTAATTACATAAAATTAGTTATAAAATGTATTAACTTTTATGCTTAATGATACACTTTCTGTTGCAAGAGTTTTTGAACAACTTTAAAACTGATGTTAAAAGTTATAACAAAACCTATTATAGGAACAATTTTATATATCAGCACTGGCAATCTAAGCTCTGCGAATAACAATAAATTAGTTTTTTACCTCTCTTCTTCAAAATTAAATTGTCTAGTAAATATTACAATAGCATCTTTAGTTGAGGTTAGTTGTCAAATCTCGCCAAAAAAGCTTATTCTGCTCCAGTTCAGTTTCTACAAATGGTCAGCCGAACGAGATGAGCCACGGCCACCTTTAACTCCAGCTTTGAATTGGCAACGTTGCAAGTAGTGTTCTAACAGCTGTTTTGTTTGGAAGCAGCTAATGTTATTTGTGTATTTACGAAAGATTGGTTACTGGACTATGACAATATATTGACTTTTTTAATTCATATTGTTTCGGTTTTCAATTCTGTATGTTTTATTTTCAATATTTTAAAACATTTATGCTCATAAATTTAAATTTAAATCAATAAAGTGCAAATTAAAGAGCTGATGTCACCTGTCTGCCATGTTATCTTATGGGACGTCTGTCACTAAACAACACCACTTGCGACGTTGCCAATTCTACCAGGCCGCGGCTTGTAGTTAAAAGTGGCCGTGGATGAGCGCAGCATCCCTTCAAAGCTGTATAAAAGTACATGGCTGTCTATCTATATACTATTATAAAGAAGATCTGGTGTCTGTGTGTCAGTGTGTTTGTATGAGATGAATTCAAAAACTACTGAAACCGATTGGACTCCAATTGGACAAAAATAAAGCTACCGCTCCGAGGATACATATAGAACTATTCCCCCTTCAATATTGAACTAGGACTCTGCCCCACGGGCTTTCAAAATTTTTAGGTGAGAGATTTAATATTATATATAGATAGATACATTAGCTACTTGTTCAAAATAGGGATGCATTTCAATCAATATCCAGAGTTATAACACTTAAAACCCTAATAAAGTTCAAAAACTTGGATTTAGCTTAATTTTGAGAAAGTATTTTAGTATTGTAAGTTAACGTTACCGGTACCTGAAAATCAAAAATTGATGCTTTTAAATCTTCACTGACAAATTCGATGTAATACTGAGCCGTCCAGTAATATCCTCCTTCCACCAACTGTTTGAGAGTGTCGACACGGGACGAATACATCGGCAGGATCAAACTGCAGCAATAATAGTTCTTAAGTAAAACACATTGAAAAACCTACAGGAAAAATATTTTGGCCCCCTTTTATTTATGTGGTTCTTTTTAGCAAAATGCCCCTATTAGTAAGGTACAGTTGGCAAAAAAACGGCTAATTACCGGCTTACAAACAATATTACACAATATAATATAGATTGTTAAACTTTTCCATTCCGCTGAATTAATATAGCCTATTACATTTACAAGTACTGAGGGAACAACAAAAACAGTAAATCTAATATAATTAAAGTTCTTGGAACTGACATTGGTTTAATCAGTGGCGGTTCTAAGGGAGGGGGGCTGCAGAGGTAAAGGAGTAGATTTAAACATACATTTAAAAAAAAAGGTTAACTGGAGTAACAAAGGTTTTTAGACACAGTGCTAGGTGTTAAAAATGGCTTTAGAAAGCCACCAAATGGCTTTAGAAAGCCACCAAATGGCTTTAAAAAATTCAAAATGTTCCCCCTCCTTTCTTACAAGGGATCTCCCACCCCTGGTAGCCTTCCCCATCCCTTGACAAGGTCCTAGAACCACCACTGGGTTTAATAGTCCAGGCAACAAAGTAAAAAAAATCCAATAAGGGAAATAATTAATTTAAAAGCCAAATTTAATACAGTTGTGCTTGGCCAAATTTCGTACAGAGTCCTTAAAAAACCGTTGGAGATAGAGCCAAACTCCAAATGTAGAAAATGTTTGTTTTTAAGACCTTTTTAATTATATTACACAACTTATTGCTTTTAGAGTTAATGCACTTGTAAGCTCTTACATTTTCCAAAATTTACTGAACAACATACTTAAAATGTTTAAACTTTCGAGTAGTAGTACATTTGTATTTGAAAAGGTTGATCTTTCATTAATCTTGGATAACAATTACCCTACACATTACTGAAAGCAGTTGCAATAAAATTAACTACCTATGTAAAACTTTTTGTTTTTGTTTTTGTAAAAATTTTGCAAGGACTTTTTTGAATACCCTTTACATGAGCATCAAGTTTCTGCCCAATGATATTTGTTTTAAATGGCTGCAGTATACTAACTGTGCAAAGGTAGCAAGTTTTGTAAGCATCATTTTTTTTATGATGGGTGAACAAATACCTTTGAACATTAGGAATATTCACCTTTAAATTTTAAAACTTTCTAAAAACTACCCTTTCAGTGTGTATTAGGATATTTCAAAAAAAATTTTCCACATTCTAATAGGGGGGTTTAAAATGTTACCAAAGGATCTACCTCATTTAGTTTGGAAGCTATCGTCTATGCCTCGCCCTGTAGAATCTAAACAATACAATTTTTCTGTAGAACATACAATTTTTAAACTAATAAATGAGCAATAAACCCTTAAGATTATTACCTTGATACAATACCAGTAGAGAGGACGGTGGTTAGAAGCAGAGAGAAGATGGACCATGCAGTTAGAACTGTTAGTGTGAACTGATCGTTAACATAACTGTGAGATGTAGACATGGTGAAATGTCCAAACACAGTCAGGAAACTGTAGGACCAATCTGTCAACAACAAATACATGCGTTGGTCAATGCAAAACGATAGTCGAAGTCTTGAAGGTCTTTTGAGTGTTTTTTAAAACAAGATATCACGATTTCACGACAATATTAATCGTAATCTTGATAATAGGCTTCTAGGGTCCAAGTGAGAGTCAAAATCTTGGTCTTCACAAATTGCAAGATAACCCAGTCCTTCAACTGGCGAAGATTGAAGCAGTTGAATCATAGTTTGCCCCAAAGATGGATTGTTGCCACAAATCCAGAACAAAGACCAAGATGGACAATATTAAATAGTGCTCAATTTGTAAAACATGAGGTGCCGGAACTATATGTTACATAAATATGTTACTTTAAAGTGAATTGTACCTATTTATGCCAATATTCTTGGTCTCTTTATCTTTCCGATAGAGAGGTACTGGAATGCTGTTCTGCCACAAATGCTCGATTTGTGTATTAACTGGTGTTAATATTATGTAGCATTTACGTAAATTTCAGAATTAACGTTCCATGTTAAAACTCCTGAGAAATTTACTCCTTTAAAACATTACTTTTCTTGGGTACTCTAACTGATTTCTCGGTGTATGTAACTTGTTAAATTATATGTATAGTATTCCTAGTCCTAATCAAACTGTATTCCTGTATGGATTTTAATTTTAAATGGAGCAGACATATTTAAGCTTTTCGATTCTGCGGAGTTCAGTTGTTGGTTAAAGTACAGAGAGGTTTGTTTGAACCTCTAGTATGTAATTCATAAATTTAGGAAACAATGTCTGTCTGTAAGAACTAAGGAACTTTGTGAAACTTTGATTTAAAGTTTTTGGGATAAAATAATATGATGGAAAAAACACCAAAATGCATCACAAAACTTGCCTTCTCTGAACAATGGTAGAATTCTGACAACCCCATACCAGTAGACCACAGAAGTCACTACGAAGGAGGTAAACACAAAAATCCAAACAAAGACTTTAAATATTTTCATTACATCCTTCCAATCAAAATCTATTTGCTCTGGTCTTCTCACCAAAAATATTGATTCTCCCTGGGGACCAAAGGTTACATTATGATTTTTATTCATGGCACACAAAAATATCACAGACATGGTAATAACTCAATAAGTTCTAGGGGGCGACATCAAGAAAACAACCAACTTCTTTTTCACTATCCACGTGAGTATAACTTAAAATACAGTAAAAAGCTATATCTGACTAGCATTGGGGAGGTACCTGGTCTATTGGTAGAGCCCGGGACATAGGTCCCGGTTTCAAATCCCACCAAATCACAAATGGATTTGATCTAAGTGGCTGCAACCCCTAGATCTAGAATTAAGTAAAGTGAAAAACAGTCACTACTCGTGCCTAGCGTCCTAGGATAAATATATGTATCTACGAATACTAGAAAAATATTTTTCTAGTTTTCGTGATCTGACTATATAGCATTGTCAGCCGCTTAGATGTTTTTCATCCATCCTCTTCTAAATTAAGATAGTAATATCATAGATAAATCATTCTCCCTTAGTAGATTTGTCATCCTTATGGAACAGCTGAAGCCAATTTTATTGTTAGTTTTGTACGTCCAACTGTAGAGGTTATGTTTTGTTTACAATATGTTTCTTGTAATTTTAGTAATTTAAAACCTTATTTAACCAAATAAAACAATTTGATCATTAACAATAACCGGTCCCCTAGTTACATAACCAAATAGTAAAGCACAAAAAAATCATGAAAATAATAGAAACAAAATGTTGTCCACCCCAGCGTTTCTAATATAATTCTAATATAATGGAAATTAAACATAGCGTCCCTCAGGGATCAATTCTTGGGCCACTGTTGTTTCTGTGCTACGTTCAGGGAATGCCCTCTTTTATAAATAATACTAATGACACGCAAAGCAATTTGATTCTCTATGCTGATGACTCAAATCTAATATCAACATCTAAAACATATCAAGGTCTTGAAGTATCATGTAGGGAACAGATAAAAAATATCAAATCTTATTTCACAAGAAATTGTTTATTTTTAAACACGGATAAAACTAATAAAATGTTTTTTTCGACGGCACAGAACAAAGAAAAACCTACCATAAGAATAACCATTAACAATAGTGAAATAAACACAATAAACGTCACAACATTTTTAGGGATAGAGATTGATAATAATCTGAGTTGGGATGATCATGTTCAAAAAGTAACAAGTAAAATTTCTACAGGACTATATATTTTATATAGGATGTCATTTTTATGTAATTTTGATACTTTAAAAACAATATATTATGCTCATATTCATTCACATTTATCGTACGGGCTGGCAATTTATGGGGGCACTACAAAGCAAAACTTAGACAAAATCTTAATACTTCAAAAAGAGCTTTGCGAATAATGTTAAATCTAGAGCGTGACGCTTCGGTAAAAAATAAGTTTTGCAATTTAAACATACTAACAGTGTATGACCAATATATTTTGGAGTGCATAATTTGCACAAAAAGTCAGCTCCACAATCACATCTTCCGTAGAGATATACATTCCTACTATACTAGAAATAGAAATACAATTGACATCCCCCAACATAAACTTAGCTTTTTTGAAAAAAAAGCGACTACATGGGGACAAAATTTTTAAATAAATTGCCATTGAATTTAAAAACTCATATGGATAAAAAATGTTTCAGGGATAAAGTTAAAGCTTATCTTTTAACAAAGAATTGCTACTCTATAGAAGAATTTTTTATTTGATTTTTATTCACCTTTTAAATCTGACAAGAATATTAGTTTTAAATCTATCAGTTTGTAATGTATTTCTCTTCATTTTGAATTTTTGCATATACTTGCTGTTCTTAATGTATAGATTTGTTTCTATTGAGAATGATGGTTTTTATTTTTTTGTATAAAACCGATATTAATTGTTGATTATATATGTTAAGATTTCTGTAAAACTATTTGTAGCCTATGTATTGAATGTATTGACTCTATTCATGTATGTACATACAGACCGAATAATAAAGCGATCAGTGTGGACTTACATGAACTAGACATGAAAAACAAGCTTCAAAATTTACAATATGGGATGAGGAGTCTACTTGTGTTGCTTAGTCTATGGTAATATCATTACCGGTCATAGTTACTACTGCTCAAAGGGTTAAAGAAATGTCTTTAATCTATATTGTTACATGTAGGTATATAAAAATCTAATGGTGTCTGTCTGTATGTGTGTTACTAATAGGTGCAAAAACTACTGAACCAACTGGGCTTAAATTTTACAAAAATATAGCTACCATACCAAGGACCATTATAGGACTATTCACATTTTCATACTGACTGTAGGCTTTGCCCATTTGGCTTTAAAAGTTCTGAGGTGAACATTTTAAAGTAAATATTGATTGGTCTCCATGGCTGTGATGAGAACACTAACAATGTTTGTTTACATTTGCTTTGACATTTAAATGTTAACAAGAAGAACTGCTAAACTGCATATTTCACAATTTCAGACAGCTGATACAAAGAAATTAAATATAATATTTTCCATAACTATGAGGTAGGTTTATTTTAATCTAACCTTTTATCATGGATTATTTATTCTAAAACTATGGCAATACTTATAGAAAAAAAGATTCTATAACCGTTGCTGTATCAACTCCGGCTCTGCTTTGGATTTTTTTAAACGTATCAGTTATGAAAATAATGTTATTGATATGTTTTCATGGAAACAGATTGCAAATTACAATGTATAGATGTTTTGTATTAATTTGGAGGCTACTTTAAATAAATTCTAACTAACTGCTTAACATTTGTTAGATTAACTTAAACTTGCACATCACATTGTTTTTTATATGTATATTTAGGTAAATTAAGTTATTGTGTTTTGTTAAACCTATGCTTAAATTAAACTAAAGAATACCATCAATAAATAAATTGTACGTCCTTGATTTTTGTTTTCTAAAATCTCTTGTATATGTGTAACTATACTTAATTATCAAATGGTAATACAAAATACTCTTATTTTATCTTAACATAGCTTTCAGTTCAAATTTACTTTATTTGATACATTTATTATTTGTGTTTTGCCACACCACTGATTAAATTAAACCAAGGAAAATATCATAAAACTAAGCAGTACACAGTGTTCTTTTGTTTCTAAAATCAATTAAATATCTGTTTCTATGTTTACTTAATGGTAAGTGTGAAAATGTAAGGCAATGGAAGATAGAACTGATAAAAAGAATTGGTTTGAGGTTTGTAAGATTAATTTGTTTGTTGATATTTTTGTAGATTAGAATCAGAGATGCAATGAAACATATACTGTATTTGCTATTACATTTTTTAGTACTTGATGCTTTGATAATCATATTAGTTTTGTTTGCTGTCTGTAATGCTAAATTATTTGTTTAATATTGTTTATAGTACCTTTAGATATAGTTTCTTTAATATTTCAAAATACTGTATTGATAAGGCACAGCAATATTTCTAAAGTTTTATAACAGCTGACTTATTTTTGCTAATGGTTTATTGTATTATCTATATATATATAAAATCCAATGTATGTTTGTTTGTTTGTCCTTTATGAACTCCGAAACCGCTCGACAGATTGTAATGAAACTTTCAGGTATTATTAAGCATTGTTCAAGGATGGTTTGTGTGAAGTTTGGTGCAGATCTGTCAAAAGAGCTCCGCCCCAGTGGCTCTGGAGTTTCCCATGTTAACCTTATGAGTATTCATATTTAAATGTAATTAAAGAATCTTAACAGCTGGTTCAACTAAAGAATTTGATTCTGTGATGTTCAGTAGCATTAAAAATTTAATAGGTTTACCAACAGGGTGCAGCACGATTATTTTTTCAAATGTATGACAACAGCTAATTTGTAAGGTGAGTGAGCGTAGCGAACGAGCTAACCTGCAGGCAAGTGAGCGCAGCAAACGAGCTTCAACCTTAAGGTGAGTGAGCGTAGCGAACAAACTTTAACCAGGAGGTGATTGAGCCATGCGAACGAGCTCA